CAGAAAAATATTTAAAATAAATCGTTGAAAAAATCATTATGCAAACCATGAAAATAAACCAAAAAATTAAGAAAGTAAACAAAAAATTTAGGAAAGTAAACAAAAAAATTAATAATAAAAAAAAACAAAAAAATTAATAATAAAAAAAAAAAAAACAAAAAAATTAATAATAAAAAAAACAAAAAAATTAATAATAAAAAAAAAACAAAAAGATTAATAATAAAAAAAAAACCAAAAAAATTAATAATAAAAAAAAACAAAAAATTGATAATAACAAATAAAAATTAAAACAAGGAAAAATAAAACAAGAAAAAATAAAAACAAGAAAAAATAAAAATACAAAAAAAATGAAAAATAAAAAAAAAATTAAAAAAATGAGAGAAATGAAAAAAGAGAAATGAAAAAATAAAAAATAAAAAAAATAAAAAATAAAAAAAATAAAAAACAAAAAAAAAATAAAAAAACAAAAAAAAAATAGAAAAACAAAAAAAAAATAGAAAAACAAAAAAAAAATAAAAAATAAAAAATAAAAAATAAAAAAATTAAAAAAAAATAAAAAATAAAAGAATGAAAAAAAATAAAAATAATAAAAAAAAAATAAAAATAATAAAAAATAAATAAAAAAAAAATAAAAATTAAAAAAAAATAAAAATTAAAAAAATTAAAAAAAAAAACAGATAATAAAAAAATTAAAAATAAAAGAAAATAAAAAAATACAAAAAAAAAACAAAATATACAAAAATTATAGAATGTAAGGATTGAAATCAACAAAAAATATAAAAACAAATATCAACGAAAAAATTTGAAGTAATATATAAAATATATTCCAAAAACTGAAAACAAACCAAAAAAAAACCAACAAAACAAACGAACATTATTAAAAAATTATAAAAAAAAAAAAAAAAAAAAAAAAAAAAAAAAAAAAAAAAAAAAAAAAAAAAAAAAACAAAAAAAAAAAATAAAAAGCAAACAAAACAAAAAATAAAAGGCAAGCAAAGAAAAAATAGAAAGCAAAAAAAAAAAAAAACGAAAAAAATAAGATATGAAAAATAAAAAAATTTGCAAAAAAAATATTCAACAAAAAAATATTTAAAAAAATTAAAAAAAAATATAAAAAAAATTTAATAAAATAAAAATAGAATTAAAATTAAATAAAAAATATAAATAGAATTCAAATTAAATAAAAATTATAACAAATAAAAAAAAGCGGTAAACACTATTTTTAATTAACTACATTCTGCTTTTATATTTTTTCACTGTTTCTATCAGTTCTACATATGTATGTATATTCCAAATTTAGCTTGCTGTCCCTTGTTTGTTGGACACCATTCTTCCATTTTGATTACAACTTATAAATGCTGTTCTTATTAGCATAAACGGTTTGAGTTACTTTTGTTATTAGTTGAATTCTATCGATCATTTGTTGACTATAAAAAAGTATTTTTCAAATTTTCAATGCGTCATTTCTATTTTTTTTTTTTATATTAGCACCACATGTTACACAGCTTTTAGTGGCATTGTATTCACTTTTTTGTAGCTTGAAACAGACGTTTCACCTTTTCTTGAGTCACCACAAGATCTTTTCTCAGCAATATTATCGTTTTTGCCGAACAAATCCAATGAAATTAATTTCCCAATTTAATTTAGTCTAGAAAAAACGTAACTAATTTAGCTTCAACATTTTTTTATTACATCAATTTGCATATGTTAGCATACAATTTAATGATGTCTTCTTTGTGTAAATTGATGTTTTGCTCTGATTTTAAATAAGCCGCTCCTTATTTTTTTACAATGATTTAGCATATTTTTTTGCTCGAAATATCCTGAATATGGCTAACTTTTATTTTGGTTTTTAATTTGTTTTCTATGAACGTTTAATATTTTTTTTTTATTTGCTTTTAATCTTTTTTCTATTATGCCTCATCACTTAATCATTTTCTAATTAGCTAACCAAAATTTATGTACCAAAAAATTCAAAGTGGCTGAGGCGGCGTCGCAAATAGTAATCGCCTTGCTTGTTTTCTCTCACTTTAAGCAAATTTGTTGCTTGCTTCTTCTCCTCCGCCGTCCGTCAACACTAATAAAATTTCGCTAATAAATGCCGACAGTTTTATCACCCAACAGCAGCAGCTATCAAAACAAAAGCAATATAAGAAAAATTTATAAATTTTTTTGCAGCTGCCAGTTTTGGGCATTTAAAAGTTTTATATGCTCTTTGTGTTTGTTGTTGTTGTTTTTTTTTTTTTAAGCTGCAAATCAAATTATGTTAATTAGACGCCTCGTTATCTTTATGACATTTTACATATGTACACATAAACGGTTTTTATATTTCGGAACCGCAAATGCTCGTAACACAAATCGACATATGTCCGCAATTTTTTCTTTTGTTTTCGTTAATTAATTGGTGGGAAAGCATAAAGTAATATTGTAAACGTTGATTCAAAGCTAAATTTAAATAAAAGATTTATAAATAGAAATTTTTTTGGGGCACAATAATTTTATAAAATTTAGCGATGTGAAATATTATTACATATAAATATATAAAACATTAAAATAAATAAAAAATTAATATTACAAAAAAATATTATCACAAACGAAAAAAAATATATATAAAAATTTTTAAAATAAAAAAAAAATAAAGTATAAAATTCATATGAAAATACCATAAAAAACTAATTCAAAACACCAACTATTAACACAAGAAACTGCAAAAAATCAATTAAATAAATAATTCAAAAAAAAAAACAATTTAAAAGTATAAAAATGAAATGTAATAATAATAAAAAAAATAAAAGAATAAAAAATACATTGAAATGAAAAAGTAAAAAACAGATAATAAATATAAAATTAAAATAAAAAAAAAAATAAAAATGAAATAAGATAAAAATAGTTAATAAAAACAAAATATAAAAATTGTAAATGAGATAATAAATTAATAACAATAATAAGATTAAATAATAACTGAAATAAAAAAAAAATAGTAAAAAAATAATAAATATAAATAAATAAAAAATAAAAATAATAAATAAAATATAAAACTAATAAATAAAATATAAAACTAATAAATAAAATATAAAACCAAAAAATAATAAATAAAAAATTAATAAATCAAAATATAAAAATTGTAAATGAATAATAAATAAAACATTAAAAAAAATATAAAAGTTGTAAATGAATAATAAATAAAAAATTAAAAAAATATAAAAGTTGTAAATGAATAATAAATAAAAAATTAATAAATAAAAAATAAAAATAATAAATAAAATATAAAATCCAAAAAATAATAAATAAAAAATTAATAAAAACAAAATATAAAAATTGTAAATGAAACAATAAATTAATAAAAATAACAAGATTAAATAATAACTGAAATAAAAATATAGTAAGAAAAAATTAAAAAATAATAAATTAAAAATTAAAAAAAAAAAATATAAAAATTGTAAATGAATAACAAATAAAAAATAAATAAATAAAAAATAAAAATAATAAATAAAATATAAAACCCAAAAAATAATAAATAAAAAATTAATAAAAACAAAATATAAAAATTGTAAATGAAATAATAAATTAATAAAAAAAAATAAGATTAAATAATAACTGAAATAAAAATGTAGTAAAAAAAATTAAAAAATAATAAATAAAAAATTAAAAAAAAAATATAAAAATTGTAAGTGAATAATAAATAGAAAATAAATAAATAAAAAATAAAAAAAATAAATAAAATATAAAATCCAAAAAATAATAAATAAAAAATTAATAAAAACAAAATATAAAAATTGTAAATGAAATAATAAATTAATAAAAATAATAAGATTAAATAACTGAAATAAAAAAATAGTAAAAAAAATGAAAATTATAATAAATATAAATAAATAAAAACATTATATAAAATAAAAAAATATCAAATTAAAAATAGATATAATAAAAATAAAATAAAAATTAATTAAAAAAATGTATGCGGCATATCTTTGATTACCACACACATTTCCCATAAACAGCTGAAAAGTAGAAGTTTCAACATAAAGCAATCCTTTCAAAACCAAATTTTTACCAACTCCGTCGTCAGCCGAAAATATGCGCAACAACAACAACAATACATACAGCGGTACAACACTCGACAATTTCTTCATTTGTATCGACAGAGCTTTAATTGTACTTGTTCTTCTTCTTCAATTTCTTATTTCACTTCGTTTTCTTATCCGAGGCTTTTACACACCGCCAAGAGAAGAATTCTTCAACTCAAGATTTTTTTTTATTATCTCAGCATTTATAGCCGCTTCAGGCGCGCAGATTGTCCCTGCTGTTGTCCGCTTGACTGCAATTTTGTAGCATTTTGCTTAAATACCATGTTGAAAGATTTATTGTCATGTAGCAGCGCTTGCCGACGTTGGCTTGGCTGGATGGTTGGGACTGTTTGGAATTTTCGATTCTCCAAACAGAAAATATATACATATAAACATACATACATACATATGTATGCATGTGTGTAAGAATGCAACATCTTTTAAGTGGAATTATTGGAAGGCCAGCTGAAGTAGCAAATGCGCTGAGAGAAAAAAAGCAACAACAACAACAGATCTGAAAAAATTTTGCGTGTAAACTTAAATGAATTGCTTTATAATTCGATTAGTCGATGGCGTTCGGTGGCGGCACATCCTCATACATTCATATGTATGTATTTATTCATGTAGTTGTATGTATACATATGTGTATAAGTTAAAAATAAATTTAGAAGCAAATAAATAAAAACATATTTATGTATGTATGTATGATTGTGAGTGCAAAGATTTGTGCTTGATGGCAGCTTGAGAATATCAATGGCTCTCATGCGATGATTTCTTATTACAAAAATTTTAGTCAAATAGATAAAAAAAAAATAGTAAAATAGATAGTTATTACACCCTCATTCAAACAGCTGTTAATTGTTTTTTTTATAATTTTTTTATATATTTTTTTATAAATATTTTAAAATAATTAATTTAATTTTTCTTTCTCCCCAGGTTCACAGTTCCGGTTTGTTCGAATTACGTTTACGTTATTTCAACAATGATTACGGTCGCGATAGCGAAGGCAATTGCTGTAGCGGCATTTCCGATCCGCAAACTGGCAAATGTATCGGTACATGTAAGACACGGTTTCGCGTTTGCCTCAAACATTATCAGGCGAAAATCGATACGACATCACCCTGTACGTATGGTGATGTTGTGACGCCGATACTCGGTGAAAATTCGGTAAATCTAACGAATACGCAAAAATTCAAAAGTAAAGGCTTCACGAATCCCATACAATTTGCATTCAATTTCGCATGGCCGGTAAGTGGTGAAAAAAAATATTTTTTATTTATATTTAGTTTGAGCTTAAGAAAATAATTCAAAAAAAAAAAAAATAACAATGAATACATGAAAGCACCTAAGGTAGGAATTATTTTTATTTAAATTTTTGAAACTAATTGAAAATCAATTCAAAACCTCAACAACTTCATACCACAATGCTTGTAAATGCCTTTCGATTGGAAAAGTTCTTTTTTATATATAATGTGCTATTAGATACATAATTTTTCATATTCCTCCACATTTTCGCTCTCTCTTATCATTAGTTTCCATTCAATTACACCAAAACTTTGCTGACAAGAAGAGAAAAATTGCCAAAAATAAAAATTAACGACTAACGCCAGTGTAAAGAGTTCAAAGTTATTACCGAATTCGCTGCCAACAATAAAAACAACATTAAAACAAAATTCTTTACTGGCAAATTTTTACGCCACTTTATTGTATATTTAATTTTTTTTAATGTTTTTTTTTTGCGTAACACATGAAAACACTACAACAACTCAAACACACATTTTCAAATTAATGCCTCACAAAACATTTTCCAAGTTATTTTTAAACAAAATCCAAATGTATAGATACATTTGCAGCAACAAAAGCAAATGTGTTGCGTCCGTCGACTTGGTGTTTACTCTCTTCTGCTCTCGGCTGTCGAAACGGGAAGTGATTTGTGCTTTGAAAAATAGAGAAAAAAAATAAACAATTAAAAAAAAGTAAAAATTTTAAAAATACAAGTTTTTCGTTTTTCTTTGGCTACTTTTGCACTCCATCGCGCATCATATGTTGCATGCAACATGCACATACACAAACATATGTGTCTGCATGTATTTATGCATATTTGTAGGTATGTACTTATATATATATATATGTATATGTATTCGTGAAGACATGCGTTAATCCAAACTAACACGCTGCACTCGCCATCGAATTGCTTGCCAAGTGGCACATATTCTCGCCCCAAGTCACTACTCTATGTACATACATATAATATGTATGTACATATCTATATATTTTTGCTTATATGCATTGGCTGATTCATAAATTATGTACGTACATATATGTCTGTATATAAATATGGTTTATAAATAAATATTAATATTTTTTATTGGCATTTTTGAAGAGTTTTGCATTTGGCTTAATGCGGAGGTGCATACGGATAAATCATTACAACAATAATACATAAAAAACTTTGTGGAATTTTTAAATTTGTATTTTTAATTATATCTTTTTGAATTTTTCTAGTTTTAATATCTAATTTATATATTTCGAAGTCTTGAACTAATTTTATTTAAAATATTTATTATTGTATTATTTATAATATTAATTATTAATTTATTTATAATAATATTAAAATTTATTTATTTTAAATTATATCTAGGCTTATTTATTTTTAAATTTTTGCTTTAAGTTTTCCTTACATAACTTTGTTTCATTTTCAACAAATTTTGTCTGATATTTAATATCTAATTTAATTCAAAAATTTAAACGAATTTTTTAGATGTATTTAATTTTTTAAATTTTATTATTTTTTTTTTAAATTTTTTAATTTTTATTCTCTCTATTGAATTTTTGAAATTTTATTTTCTTTTTAAATATGGTAAATTTGATTATTTTTTTTATTATTTTTTTATTAAAGTTTTATTTTTTATTTTTTAATTTTTAATTTTTAATTATATATATATGCAATCCATTAATTTTTGTTTATGCATTACAAATCACATAAAAATATGCAACTTAGTCCGCTTACGCATTATTTCCGTTCTTTATCGTTCAATATAATGTACATGTATATGTATGTATGTATGTATTAATTTATTGTAACGTTAATTTGTTCGGCTGCAAAGCACGTGTGCTTGTAGCAAAATATACGTTACAAAAACGACAACAAAAATTCAGCAAACAAGGAGTATGAATTATGTACATGCATGCATACATATGTATGTTGGCATATATGTATGTATGTTGTATAAAAATCGCTAAATAAATACAAAAATGCAAAGTAACTTTAAAGCACATATGTACATATGTACACACATATATATATAAATATATGTGTATATTTATAAACTTGCATATATATGTATGGCTACACGCATTTAAATATACATACATACTTGTATTTACATATGTATATGTGTATAAATAGCTGGGGTGTAAAATGCTCAAACATTCATATCTGCCGCCAAGCGTCAATGACTACATATATATTATATGTATATATGTATGTACAAACTTATATTTATATTCATTCACTCACTAACCAAGGGGTGGCTGCCTGACTGGCTGATTTTGCCTGCGCAGCGGCACCTAACCACACCGTGCCACTTCACTCCATTCCGCACCACCAGCACCACCACCACCACATTCTTTGGTGTACACCAACACTTTGGAATAAAGTAAATAATAATACTTCTGTTTGCCGCTTTTTACGCTTAACAGCTGTCAGCTATTAAAATGCGCTAAAACCGCGTCGCCGTTAAGGTCGCTACGCATAGTCAGACAGACAGGCAGTCAGTTCGTCAGCCAGTCCAGTTGACGGCATAGTCGCGCGTGCGCGCTTTACCTTACACCACGAGACACATTTGTACAAATTTATGTATGTGGTAAACAATACGAGTATATATATTTATGCAATTGAGTGCAGTGCACCCCTTTTCGGTGGTGTTTCGCAGGCGCATTAACCTAGCCACCAAACCACCACCACTGCGCCAGCAGCAACAGCGACAGCAACAACCAGCGCTGAAACGTAAACACCCAACGGCCGGCAAAATCAACTTCTACATCTCTTCCACCACCGATCATAGTGTTGTGGTGCTCCGTCTGTCATGGCCTTAGCGGTTGTTTTTATTCCCTAGACGCTTGCGTCGTCGTCTGTCTCCTTGGTTCTGGCAGTCGCGCACCGCGCTCTCTCTGCTGTTGCTGAGACTTTTTTCGCTTCGCACTCCTTTATATGGGCTGGTAATGTAAATATTCTTCGGTGCTTGTTATTTTATGCTAAAATCAGCATTTTACGTTCCAATTGGAATTTGTGTCATTCAAATGGCAGCATATATGTACATATGTACATATTTATGGTACATATGTTGCGATTTTAGTATTTTCATTTCATTTGTGGCGCGTGTTATGGCGCAAGCGTTCATATTTTTATCTCTGCATCCCCCTAACAAATTGCCGTGTTTTTCAGTGTAATTTTTTCTTATCTCTTAGTAAGCAGAAATTTAAAATTATTTGTTGTTATTTTTTTTTTAATTCTTATACATTTCAGTATTAGTTTATTGGTTTGAAACACAAGGATGGTAGACTAATTTCTTCTTTTTTTTTAATAAATAAATAGCTTTTCAGATTTGTATTTTTCTTAACCCCGATTTGGAAGCTAAAAAATGAATTAAATTTCTTTTTAGTGTTTTATTATGAAATAATTTTCTTTACGTTCTTTATATACAATTTTAATTTATTTTTATATATATTTTTCGGACTTCTTTTTTTTACTGTTATTAATGAATGATTTTCTTATATTTTTCGCAGGATTCTAGTTTAATTTTTTATTGAGCTTGCATTGCACTTTTTTATGTTTTCTTGAATTTATTTTTATTATTTCTTCATACCTAGTTTTTCATTTATTTTCGCAAATCATATTTTTTACGCAACATTTTCGTAAGTTTTTTCTTTTAAAATTGTCATTTTAATAATTTAAATTACTTAATAATATTTTTATTAAAAATTTTCGTAAATTTTTTTTAAATTTGTCATTTTAATAATTAATATTATTTAATAAAATTTTTACTCGTAATTTTTTTTTAATTTGTAATTTTAAAAATTAATATCAATTATTGATATTTTTTATTCACCATTTCGTAAATTTTATTTTTTAATTTCGTGATTTCAATCATTATAAAATGATTTTCTATATTTTAACAATAAAGTAGCAATAAAATGTCACTAATATATTTATTTCCTGGCAGGCTGCTATGGTCGCCTACACCTTCATCACATCCCATTCATTATCCATTCACGCTGCCACACATACTCTCCATATGATCTACATAAACATACATATTAAATTCAACTATAATTGAATGAAACAGTTACACATAAGCAATACACATACAACACCCGCATGTACACACATTTCTCACCACCCTCTACACAGTTTGTCTAGTTTGTGGCATCCTCCTTGGCGCGGTGGTTTGTGCGTGTTGCATGTTATTTAAAGTGAGCGCCCCCTCATTTTAGATGTCACCTATACTAAGCAACGCCGCTGACATTTGATTACTTACCACCGGCACACTCTACAACACTCGCCCAAGCACTCACAGCAGACACATATGTATATATGTATGTATGTATGCATGCAATAGGCCTAAGTCTGGAGTGCACCTATTTTTATATTGGAGAACTTTTCTCTTGTTTTGTGGCACACGTGTTCTTGAAAGTGCCTACGACGTATAAGACCTTCTTAGTGCACATCATTATGTTTCTTAATAAATCTTAATTAAAGGAATATTAAATTACTGTAAAACTCTTACTAAAATTGTAACTTATAAAATATGCATTTCAAAGTATGCCATATATTTGTCCATTTTCCATTTTTTCTTCCTCTTTTTTTTCTGAACTCAAAGTGACTTCCACTTTCCTCTTTCTTGCCCCGTTTTAATTGATCTCTCTAGGTATGTTGCATGTTTCCATAAAAAATAAATTAAATTACCTACTTAAATGAAATAGACAAGCGCCTAAACCCTCTACAGCTCTACTCACAAGCGTATCCCTATACTTGTTTACCCTCGTCTGTGCGACGCACTCAAGCTTCACATGAATTCAACAAAACATTTTTAACGTATTTTTCGACTTTACTTAAGGTTTCCACAATGCCGTTTTTATCGCATGCGGCATGCAGAATACTCCTCGTATGTACTATGAAAAGTGCTTACCTTCGTTCCCTCTTCTTTTTCTTCTTTTCCTGCTCACCAGCTATAGTTCATACTCAC